TTTGGTTCCCTTAGAACAACTCTTGATCTGAAACTTGAGTTGTTTGATGTGTCCTCTTGTGGGTGTCCCAAAGAGGAGATTTAGAGTGCTCCAAACATCATGAGTTGTTAAAGCACTGGCGACAAGTGGTTGTACGGGAAGAGAGATTGCTCCAATAATAGCACTGTAAAGGAGCCTATCTTGTCTTCTCCATGGTGTATATGCTGGATTTGGTTCAGTTACACCGTTGTTGGTGATGAACGGTTCCGGAGTTAAATCTGTTTTCTCAAGGAACGTATGTAACTCATGTCCCTCAAGAAGTGCTTGAATTTGTTTGCTCCACATGAGAAAGTTGGTGTTTGTCAAACGAGTAACGTTTGACATATTGACTGCAAGAAGTGAGTTTGCTGGGTTTGCTGGATCGTAGACAGCCGTGCGAGTTGCAGAGGATGTAGCAGAAGAATTTGAATCTGACATTGTTTTGTGAAAAGAAAAAAAAAAATTTGTGTGATTAATGGATCGAGAGGAGCTCTGATACCATGTAAGATGTAATACTTGATTGCTTGTTTTATTAATTACAAGAGTTCTCTTTATATAGAGATACAAGACTCATAGGATATACACAAGGCTTAGGAGTAGATAACAACGAACTATATACGAAGTTAATCTACTAATAGAGATAGGAGTTATCTCTAATATTCTACTTATCCTAATATTCCCTCCTCGGCTCCTCCCTTAGGGCATTGGTATCGGGGTCCCTTAGGGGAAGGGGCCTAAATAAACGTGGGGATCAAGGAAAAAAAGGAACAGAAATCCTTTAATTAAAGGAAAAATTTGGTTGGTTCCTTAAACTGTTTGTGGGTCCCACGCATGCGTGGCGACCCACGATTAATTCATTTTTAATTTTATTTTTTAAATCAGAAAAAAGAAAAAATAAATAAAATAAAATAAAACTAAGGGACCTTGGCTGAGTCCCACCGATATCAATGCCTTACCTTAGAGCAAGTACATCAATGAACCCCTTCTTGGGGTTCATATGATTTTTTTATTAATTTTATGATGGGCCATGAATAGTGATGAACCTGGATCAATTGTGTTCCTCTATCAATGAACCTGAAGTCAGGGTTCATAGAAATAAAATAATATATTTTTTGAAAATTAAAATAATTTTAAATTTTTTTGAAAGATATTTTTCAAAGTTATATAGCATATAGATAGCATTTTCAACTAATTAGCTGTTGCATAGAATATTCAACAAAGGTTTTGATCTTTTGTCTCAAGCAAGAACACATGTTAAAAAAAGCTAACATGTCATGCCGAAGATGCGTGGTTTGTGTTTAGTATAGCATTGACTTCAGCATGACAAACATATCTACAAACTTTGCACCTCCATCTCTACATGATATGTCACATGAAAGCAATACAATGATCATATAAGAGGTCTCTGGCTTCTATAGCATTTTAAAAATGAAATTAAGCTATTTGAAGTTTCGACAGAAAAAGGCAAACTTTCTGCACATTCCCTATCAAATTCAGCAGCTAAATCCTTAAAACCTTAACAGCTTCTTGAGTAACTAAACAGGAAAAGAAAAACTTTGAATTGTGGAAATATCAACACAAGAAACCCTAAGCTGGGACGAACAAAATTGAAACACAATCATTCATGAGGAAGAGTCAAGCTAATTAATTACTCATATGCATAGAGACAGGAGGAAGTACTGAAACAGGAACCACATATACAGGTTTCAAAAATTCCATGGAAGGGAACAAATTGACAAAACCAAAAGTGTGTGTAGGAGGATTAGAATTAGAGGCCATACCAAAGAGAAGGGTCAGTGATCAACAACAAAAAGCTGCAACGGGAAAACAAAAGACGTTTCAAAAAAAAAACAAAAGCAGAGGAAGAAGGAATAAGAGAGAAAGAGAGCTTCAAGATAACTACGCCATAGGTCATATAAGCACTTTAAAACCTCAGGAAGAGTTTGAGACAGCTAACGTTTCTTTAAGAACAAGGCCTAAGGTCAAACAAAATGATCACATAACTTAAATTTCACAACCTCTGTATTATGATACACTACTAAAATGGATCCTACCAATACAATAATCAACTGAATGGTTGAGATGTGAAACCAATTATTTAATTTAATCAATATGAAGCACACAAAAGCTCCACTGATTTTTTCAGTTGCTTCTACTTTCAAACTGCAAAAGAGAGAGACCACTCAAAGGAAAACCTGTGTGGTGGTGTCTGCTGGTGGTTTGGCACTCCAGAGGCAGAAGACCAAGAACTTGTGTAACCCTGAGTTCCACTTTCTTTCTTGTTTGTAGATTTGCCCTGGTAGTTTCCAGAATCTGAACAACAGAAGCACATGAGCATGAATCCTACAGTTAAAGCTATATAAACTTAATGCACCCAAGAGATCGTGTTCATACCAGTAGAGCTGAGATGGGTAGATGCACTTCGTCCAGCATAGCGATCAGAACCACCTCTACCACCGCGGTTGTATGTATACATATTAAAGCAAAGCAGAGTCATCTTATTCTTCACAATAGATTTACTGAAGCTCTGCAATTCATAAAGTTGGAAGCTTTAGCTATAAAAAACGATTTCAAGCTCTCAGAAAACAATTTAAAGACAAACCCACTTCGTTTCAAGGGGCTGTAAGGATTGAGAGCCGGGAATCTTCTGGAAATCGCGGAGATTTCGGTGGAAGCAGCTCTTCATCGGAGTTTAGGGTTTGATGAGAAGAAACGAAACGCAAGAGCTGAGATCAAAGCGCCGAGGATTGCAGAAGTAGAGACGAGTACGAGATCTTGAGAGGTGTTCATGGAGAAAGAGTTTCGATTGTGCTGAGCAAAAATTGGGAAAACGAGAAGTCATTCGTTTGCGTGACACGTGCCATGAACCTGTCTCATAGGGGTTCAGCCAAGAGAACCGGTTCACAGATTAAAGCCCATTTTTCAATTTTTTTTTTTAAAAAAAACCCATGAACCCCAGCCCATGAACCCCTTATAAACCTTTGATGTACATGCTCTTAACTAAAACATAATGCTCTACAAATTTTGATCTCATTACTGTAGCCCCAGTGCCTCCTGGCACGACGGTTTCTCCCTTCTTGGCCCTCTCTCGTCTAGCTGTTTCTTCTCTTGTGGAGACGTCATAGCTCTTTACTTATAACACACGTTTTAAGAACTTATATTCTTTTTTACAGAAAAAATAAACTTATATTCTTTCATATTACAGAACAAAACAAAAAGCCAAAGCGGCTTCACGATGGTGATGATACGGATACTCGAAGAGGCCGGTCTATATATATGCGAATTGTTTCGGATGTCATTTTGCTTATGTTTCGTGATTCAGAAACGTCATACGTGTACTCTTTGCTATGCCACGTGTCGGAAGAATTTGCTGACGTTTACATTCAATTTTTTTTTTTGGTAACAAGTCACCCAAGAAGTAGTAAACTCTACTGTTAGATTGGTTTTACCGAGTCAAAAAAGCCCAACCCAAGACTAAGCATTACGAGGGAAGTTATTTATGTTCATATATGACGAGGTACGGAGGTAGGGTCAACAGTTTCCTAATCATATATATGCACACAATCCACTAATTGCAGATATGAAAGAGTTAGGGTCAACAGTTTCCTAATCATATATATACACACAACACATTAATTACATAAACATTTACATATGGTACGATCTCAAATCAATATACTGATAATCTTTCCTTAAAAGAGCTTATACAGTACAGTTTGCCAGGTCTACAAAAATTTCCTTTGACTTGTTCTTTCTTGCTACGTTTTAAAATTATTTGGGGTGATTAGCCATTCCATATATGTATATGAAACTATTGTTTTCAATAGAGTAAAACATAATAAGTCGAGAGATCAAACAAATTCAGTCAAAAAAAAAAACATAATAAGTCCAAACATACAGTCATAAGAAAAGTCTTATGTATCAATGATTCAATAACTAAACTCCTATAAATGGATAGCTTTCTTGAAAGGCACATCATCCAATTATACTACTCGTATTCAAGTATATTGATGACTCCTATCACGAATAGTCCATTCCATCTTAACACTTTACCAAAAAAAATAGTCCATTCCATCAGAAGTTGGGAACCGTTACGTATTCATATCCTAGTTTAATTATTATCCATAGACTAAATTAACTTGATATTTTGATGATTTCTACTAAATTAATTAGCAACAAATTATTATTCTTGTAAAAATCTGATAGTAGTTATCAATATTATTAAAACAGAATTACAAGTTGGACTTAACATTAATCTTCAAAAAAAAAAGAGTTGGACTTAACATTAATCTAACGTGGTATATATTATCAAATATTGACTTTTATACACAACATAAATTTTATATTATTGTGTATAAAATTTTCTAGAATAATGAAATATTAAATTGAATAAGAAATATAGTCAAATAACTTAATCCATACATTTATTTGTAAATTATAAAAATAAATCAAAGAATTTCTACAGACAAAATAATAATAAAATAGATTGTATAGTATACTAGAACTAATACAAATTATAATTTATGTAATTTTATTTAAATTTGTGTACATTTATTTATTTTGAATTTTATAATTTTTATATGGGAACATATGGTAGACCGTAATTAATGACTTAATTGTATTCAATGGACGGCACATCTATTCTTCACTATTCAAAGCTTAAAGATCACATGTGATCACCTAGTCCAAACCAACTAGATATTCAAATATACAAAAATCTCATTATGGCAAAACAATAAAGCCTCTTACCAAATTACAATATAGGCAAAACAAATATGGTAACTTTGATACGGACGTGAATTCGAGACTTGGTCACGATATGTGTTAATTAGCATGCAGAAAGAGAAATAATCGTCCTTGACCATATATATAAATAACCGTACACTCTTCCGCTAATTCACAAGCTCATCTGCTCTTTCTCATACGTAATCAACAAGAAAACCCATTAATCAAAAAAAAACCTAACCCTATTTTCTAACTCCATGCAAGTCTCCAAGGATCAAGAGGAGAAGAAGAAACACACCGCCGGTCTCACGGTGGCGTGTTCTCCAAGAAAGCCAAGGGAGAGGAGTTCTAGACCTTTTTCTGAGGCGTTGAGACGCAAGCGACCACCGATGCTTAACCTAGAGTTGTTTCCTCGGCCTTCACCGTGGTGCAACGTGCCGGTGAAGACGCCGAAGGACGAAGATGTTGAAGCCGAGAAAGATGGAGTTTACTCCGTTTACTGCAAGAGAGGGAGACGCAGATTCATGGCGATGGAAGATAGGTACTCCGCGGCGGTTGATCTCGACGGTAGTAAGGCTTTCTTCGGCGTTTACGACGGTCACGGTGGCTCCAAAGCGGCGGAGTTCGCGGCGAAGAATCTCGGTAACAACATCGAGGCGGCGGTGGAGGCGGCGAGATCCGGGGAGGAAGGTTACTCGGTCGAGAGAGCGATAAGAGAGGGTTACCTCAAGACGGACGAGGAGTTCTTGAAAGAAGGCTTGACAGGCGGCGCGTGTTGTGTAACCGCTCTTATATCGAACGGTGAGCTTGCGGTTTCAAACGCCGGAGATTGTCGGGCGGTGATAAGCCGTGCTGGAGTTGCGGAAGCTCTTACTACCGATCACAGTCCTAATCAAGAAAATGAACTCCAAAGGATTCGAGCATCGGTGAGTTTTATCATTCATTATTCTCCATAATTGTATTAGTCCGGTTTGTTTTGGTTTGGTTTGATTTGGTTTGGTTCGGTTTAATTATTTTTTTGTTTGTGTAGGGTGGTTATGTTGACTGTTGTAACGGTGTGTGGAGAATTCAATGGACATTGGCCGTTTCACGAGCAATTGGAGACGAGTATCTCAAGAAGTGGGTTATAGCTGAACCGGAAACAAGAACATTAAAGATTAAACCGGAATCAGAGTTCTTGATCTTAGCATCTGATGGCCTTTGGGATAAGGTAAGCATAACTCGAAATGTCTCAATATTGATTTCATTTGTAGTCTATGGTTTTGAATGTTGAACCGGATTTTTCGTTATAGGTAACGAACCAGGAGGCGGTTGATGTGGTCCGACCATACTGCATAGGCGTGGAGAATCCAAAGACACTTCCCGCTTGCAAGAAGCTAGCGGAGATATCGTCTGCGAAAGGGAGCTTGGATGATATTAGTGTAATCATAATTCAGCTACAACAGTTTGTGGCATGATTCGCGTATTTACTTAAACTTGATTAAAATCTTTATGTCTTGACTCTTGAGTTATTGATAATTATTATGTTCGGTATTTATATGTAAATACAACATTAATCAATATTATTATCCTTGGGGATGTAATCAATATTATTATCCTTGGGGATGTCAAGATCCAAGAACACTAACCATGTTGATTCTTGACAATTCGTTCGGTGAATTATCTCAATAGTTGTTGTGTTGATCAAATGATGACTTTGTGTTATTTATCAAGAAGGAAGGATTTGACAAGTCTGTTAAATCAACAGTAATTTATCTATTATTTGTTTGTTTTTAATAACTAAGATTTTCGTACATTTCTCTCGTGGACCATATAATTTATCTAGTACTGTATTTATCCATTTGTAGCAACAACTTTATCAATACAAAAATTGTAAAAATTTGATGATATTGTTTTTTTCTAGTTACATTGTCATTTGATCCTAATTGAAAAACTCTTGAAATCTCCTATTAATTTGTATCCATTATCTATAAAAAATAGATATGATCTGAATATCATAAGTGGTATTCTAACTATGGTAGACATATTATACGTTGATCAATCACTTCATTATATGATTTCAGCAACTAGTGGTATTATTGGTTATTTGTTTAACTATATATTTATTTATTTATTAAGTTATTATTATAGAGTTTAAAGAACATCAAATTATATAAAAAAAAACAATCTAAAACAGAATTCTTATTAATATTTTTCCTTCATGTATTATATTATTAAAATGTAAATTATTAAGTGTAATTAATAAAAATATATTATATTGAATAAACTAATTCCCAAATACTGTATTAAGGTAATTAATTATGGTTACAAACAATTTAAAAACACAAAGTCCATCTCTTATAATCTTTATATTTTATCCCAAATATAGTTTATATGATAAAGTAACAAATTCTGAAAACTGTAGGAGAATCTGGAAATAGCTATTACTCACACTGACCATTGTTTGTTTTTATGTATTTTCTTATTTGTAAGATTTTAAAATATTTATTTATTAATTACAATTTACATTTAATTAAGTATAGTTTAGATTAAAGTAGAAAAAAAATATAGGAATCTTTAGTATGAGAACGTATTAGTTAATTTGTAGATTTGTAAAATCATATTGACCATATATAGTGTTTTCTATAAAACTAGATATAAATATTGGTGGCCACAAACTATTGCAAATCATAACATACAATGGTGGAGGAAGGCAGAAATGGAGAAGGTGCAACAGACGATAGCCACCGCAAAAGCGACGGTGTAGACTTAATCAGTTTACTACCTGATGAGATCCTCCAAACTATCCTCTCCTCTCTTGAGACCTTTATAGCCGTCAGAACTTCTATCTTGTCCAAAAGATGGAGGCATGTATGGTCTGGTACACCTAGCCTCTGCTTAAATTTGTATACGCATAGGCCGGAAAGTGATTCAATAAAACAATTTCATAGAACGCTACACGGTTCGCAAGATGATGAGTTTCGAGCTGGGGGCCAACTTGAAAGACAAGAGGCATTACGTAGACAGATGGATCGAGTTCGCTATGTCCCGAAACGTGGAGAATATGACTCTGATTGTTTCTAATCATGGTGACAAGAAGTATCACATTCCTGATTTCTTCTACATCAATAACTCTATCAGGCAAATCAGTGTTAACGGTTCGTGTAGTGGTTTGACAATCCCCAGTTACGTGTCTTGGACATCTCTGAAGATGCTGTCCTTGACTTATTTCAAGCTCTATGACGAATGTATTGATAAGATTGTATCTGGATGTCCGGTTCTCGAAAGCTTATCCCTGTCTTTTTGCCATGAACTGATGGTTCTTGATCTCAGCAAATCGTTGAGTCTGAGAACGTTAGAAATCCTTAACATAGAGTTTCTGTGTCCAAAGCAGATTGTTGCACCGCATCTTCGTTGTCTCAAATTGAGACACCCTCTGCTACCATGTACTTTAGTTGATGTCTCGTCTTTAAATGAAGCTAGACTAAACATTTTCTTTTCTGGACATCATCTGGAAGCTGATTTTCTTCAAGATACGGTGCTAAAGATGCTAGAGAAGTTGCAGAATGTAGAAAAACTTACTTTGGGGGAAAACTTTCTTAATGTATGTGATTCGTGTATTCCACAGAACAAACTTCATTATTGCGTTCTCTAATAGCTAGATGTTGCAGGTAGAGCCGGTTATGAGCATCAACAAATAAACATTGATCCCCCAGAATCTTAGATCCTCCCCTGGTTGCAGAATCACTTACTTTTAACTAGGCACATTAGTCACTTACTTTTAACTAGGCACATTATTAGTCACTTACTTTTAACTAGGCACATTAGTCTATGTTAGCCCAACGAATTGCTTTTCATTAGGCTTTGATTTCTAATTAATCTGTTATATGCATTCTCTTAAACTATTTCCAATGATTTGTTCTATTTTTTTTCCTTCAAAATAGAGTAACTCTGTAATAGAACGAGTTTAATTCCAATGATATTTTATTTTGAAGTAATAATAAATAGATTATTTTGTTTATAGAGTAAATTTATTTTTATTTTAAAATAGAATGAGATAGAAACATTTTTAAGCTAAAATCTATTTTAGAGTAAAATTAGAGTGGGCTGAGATGCTAGAACGACGCTCATCATTGAGCAAATGATGATTTTTGTCTTTCAATACTTCCATAAGCTTTACTTTTTATTTTCTTCTAAGATTTGTGTTTTGGTATTTACTATATCTATCGATGCTTCTTGTTAGATTTTATCTCTTGCCGAGCTCCGTTGTGTTCCGTTTCCAAGCTTCAAGGTCAAAAATTTGACACTTGTGACAATGATCTCTCAATATGTAATCCCTGGTATAGTCAGGGTGCTACAAAACTCACCTGAACTGGAGAAGCTAACAACAATACACACAGTGGATTTATACGACTGCATACCGGTATATTCTCAGTAACCCTCTTTTATTTTCTTGTCATCCTTAACAATTCGAACTACTGGCGGGTTTGAACCATGTCCTTTTACTTTCGGTTTGTTAGAATTTGAAATATTGACATGCAACCGGTTTATGAAAACCTTTTCTGATGTACAGGAGAAGCATATTGACACCTACTTGAATTTGAAAAGCTTAAATTCGGATCAGTGTTGGAGCATGGAAGCGAGGGTCTTTGAGAACATTAGTTATGGGGATATAGAGTCGAAGCACGTGGTTTCGTTCATGGAACTTATGTTTAAAAACACAAAGACATTAGAGAAGATGGTCGTTTGGTTGGAAAGATATGATCAAGGTCGAAATTTTGAAGAGTTGCTTGAGATGGTTCCAGTGCTCTCTGACGAGAATAATATCACCATAGTGTTCAGCTCATCCAAGTCGAAAAACAGAGATAGTATTGGATCTATCTGTGACTAAAATATGCAGCAAGCAAACTTTTCTTTTTTTTTTTTTTTAATTTGGATCAACTTTATAAGCTTTATTAAATTTTGCATATGTTATGATATATTTTCATATCTTATATACTAAAACAGAAGTCATTATTTCACTTTATGTGTGATTTTTTTTTTAATTTGGATCAACTTTATAAGATTTATTAAATTTGCATATGTTACGATATCTTTTCATATCTTATTATTATTAGAAATGTAAATAAATATTTGAAATAAGATTATAACAAAATCTTTTTGAAATTGCTAAAATATTCTTAGAATATATTTTGAAAATTAGTTATTTGAAATTTTAATTATCATCAAATATAATTAAAAATCTAATTCATTTTTAATCTATAAACAAAAATTAAAAATTCTGTAAAATACTTTTAACAGTATCCAAAATTTTGTTTTCTCTATTATGTAAGTCCAATTTAGTTTAATTTTAACATATATTTCAATTTTTTTAAAGAAAACAAAAAAGTAAATTAAAAATACTAATTTATAAATCACACAAACATTATTATAAAATTAGATAATATATAGCATCTAATTTTATCAAATTATTGATAAATTTTATTATATAATCTACAACATTTTAATATTTAAGAGTATTATTATGCCTCAATATATGTTTAGTTATTGTTTAAAATGAAAAATAAATTTTTATCATACTTTATTTATTTTATAATCATAATTTATCAAATTAACATAATAATTATATTTAACTAAATATGATAAAACTAAATTAAAATGATATATTAATATATTTTATTTTCATAACTAAATATATTTATATTAAAATAATATAATATGTTGTCAAAATGGGTTGAAATACTATATAGTACGAGTATACAAATGAACATATCTTAAATTTATATATATACAACAATATATTATCTAAAACTAATAAGCATAAATAAATAAATATTTGGTTGACAAAACAAAAAATAATAAATAAATATTTAAATATATGATTAATATTAAAAATATATATCCACAATAATGTAAACAAATATATATATAAATGAAATTACCATGAAAATCTAGTTAATGGTTAAGTTAGATATTCTGAAGAGCATTTAACCATGTAGAATAAGATACTTTTATAGAACTTTAATTATTTATTTAGAATTTAATTGGAAAATGGTAAAAAAGAATTGGCATCTGGAAAATGCTAATTTAATTACAATATATACGTCTTTGGGTTTCTAAAAAGGTTTTGGATTATTTCAAATGAAAGATCTATCTGACATTTCTACACTATTTTCTTCTTCTTTATTTATTTATTTATTTTATTGTCTAGAAACTTTCTGAGTGACCCCATTAAAGATGCTTTTAGTAAATGTCATATGACATTAATTTACTGAATTAAAATTTTTTAACTTGAATTGAAACCCTATGTTTCGATTTTTGATCATTATTATTAAAACATGATCATTGTTTTTAATGAATGATTTATCTTTTCCCAAAATTATCCTTCATTTTGTGAACAAATAAATATTTCATTAATGACATTTTTGTGTTTTTTTTGTCTAAAATTTATGAAATAATGGATTTCATTAATGGGTTAAATTCACATTTTAATTATTAGTCTGCGGATTTCGTTTTGTGATCGGATCGATCGAGTTAAAAAAAATAAGTTGTGGGTGCAGGTCAGTGAGTGTATTTTATGTGGAACGAATACGGGTTGTTCTAATTTTAATTGCGGGTACCTGGTAATCCGCAAAAATAGAAAAAAAATAAAAGTTTATTTTTCAAAAATATACTAAATTTAATTAAAATATACTATTTAATATTACTTTATATAAAAAAACTAAAAAATAATTATTTTTACTATTTTATAATTATCCGTGGGTTCCGTGGATTACGCAAATTAAGTGGGACAGATGCGGATAAAATATATTTTCTTTGCGGGTCAAGCGGGTTAGACGTGGCGAGTTTGACCCGCTTCCCAGCACCAGGCATAGTTAATTGATATTATTTTCTCAAAATAAAACTACACAATTACACACAATACATTTACATAGATATTAATGATAACAATAAACTAAAATCTTCATTTATTTTAAAAAATTATATTAGATAGTGACATTTTGTATCATCAAAGCAAAAAATTTATCGATTCATCTATAGATAAAACAACAAAAAAGTATCTGAGCTTTATAAATACGGATCAAAAATCTAGTTTTTTTTTAAATCTAAGTGAAAATTACATAAATCGAAATTTATGTGCCCGCGATTCATTAAATCCACTATTAGGTTAAAATTGATTAATAAAATCAAATTATAGACCATTGACATTAATAAATCAAATTATAGATAATTGATCATCATCATTTTCGGGAGTTAGCCCCCAAAAACTAGAACTCAATTATAGTTACAGGTGTTTTCTACAATATTCGTGAAGACAACGAAACATAGCTCCTACTAAACATGAACAGAAAAAACACTTTGAAAATGTAATGCTGGCTGATTTGAGAAAGCAATGCGGAAAGTATATCAGGACGTACAGCAGGAAGTAGTTCAAGAACTACGTCAAGAACAGAGCAGTGCGATTAAATGTTAACTAAAGCTAGAGTACATAAGTGGACAACAGCTAGGAACGACTTGGAAAGTCGAGAGGTGTCTGCTGAGCTGGATAATCATCTTAGATAGTATGTTTAAGATGATGGAAAATTTCTTTATTCTTATGAGAAGAAAAATGAAAGATTGCTTAGAAACCCTAAGGTGTAGGGTTTAGTAATCATATAAATACTAGGAGACCGTCAAAGAAAAATGCACGCGTCTAAGGTATTCTTGAGAGAAGCACACAGGTGTGTGGCGTCGTCCCACCAGACAGATAGTGAGATCTGTTGGTGGTTTAGTTGTAGAGAACTATACTCTTCATAAGAATATTGAATAGTAATTGTTCTAATCATTGTAATCTAGATAAGAGTGGTAGGTACAAGTGTGTGCTAGATACCATATAGCAATTATAGATTGCGGCCTTTTCCAGTAAATGGTTTCTGGACGTGGTTCCGGGGATGTAGAAAACAAACCTCGTTAACAAATCTTTATGTGTTCTTTACTTTATGCTCATACGTACTATACATGCACGTAAACACATAGATCTAGCCACAATATGCACTTACACACTTCTTGAGTAAGAAAAAGATCACTGATACGTTTCCTTGCGATCTGCTTCATTCTATATCCCATCCTCACTTTCCTTCTCGCATTATCACTAATGAAACTTCCTATATAAACTGATTGTTTTGTTGAATATTTTAACTAAATTTTATCTCCCTTTGAAGTTTCATACCAGATGAAACCCTATTCTAAGATCCTCGGCCCAATTTTATAACTAAAGTTTTGGCCTATACATGTTTCAAGAAGTTAGCTCATGTCAAACAAAAAAAGATTGGCTATATCTAGTTTGGATAAGGTGTTATCACCTTCACAACCTTCGACAATGCGTTCATCTTACAATGTGTGGGTTGGCAGGTGACGTCAAGCTAGCCCACACACCAAATCTATACATGTATTGTATCTCAACTTTTATTGGTTAGCCACTCTTCTACCATGTGTGGACAAAATGTACAACATGATATATGTGACTGAGATACACTAAGATTATGTAGCCGATATAATCAATTCACTAAATGGACCATTCAAACAAAAAAATGTCAACAAAAGTAGGCTTATAGGAAGCCACAGCATCGCATGATAATGCCCCGTCCGATCTGATCCTATCTACGCATGAAAAATGAAATCTAAGTTATGAAATAGTTTTAATGATGAGTTCGAAACTTTGAGTATGTGAAAATTTTCAGTTAATTATTTTGTTTTCTCAAGAACTTACATATTCGTTATTGGTTTTTAGTACTTTTTGCAATGGTTTTCTTCTTTTCATTGTTCTCAAATGATTGTTTTTGGTCACGCTGGTAACATGGTCTTGGTTCTTGCCTCCTTGGGACACAGAAGTAAACTTTGCTCAAATTATTCGTTTCAATAAATATATTTTATTAACTGACAAATAATTACTTGTGATGTAAGTATATTGCATGTACGTGAGAAATACCATAAAAGTGAATGTGTTGAAATGTTCACCAACCTACGAGGTGAATTGTGTCAGCCAGTGGCATTGTACCAACAATAGTTCTTAAAATGCGTATAAAACATTACCTGCGAAAACGTTTTCATCTTGAAATTATGATATGTTTTGATTATTTCACAAAATGATTTATTTATAAAAGAGTTAAGTTGACCAAAATTTACTTTCAAAGATCTAAAACAGGAAGAAAACAAGTGTTTGTTGTCGGTGGTGAATGGTTGTTCTTTATAGAAAGGCTAAAAATGATGGGATTCACGACGGAAAGCAAAAAGAAACTAAAAATTACTCGTTTTCTTAATATGATTATAATAATTACCCAGGATTTAATTATATATTTTGGTTTATTTCTCCAATTAATAACAAACACGAGAATTTAAATAAAACGAAAAATATACAGCAATTAGGCAATGTATTTGGTGAAACAAAAATTACTACATTTTAAAATGAAATAGAGGTAGTTAGTGTTTGGGTCTTGTCTAAACTAAACTGTATTTTCAACTTTAGATATAAAATGATCCGCCAGAATAGTTCTCATTCATATGTGTATGCTTTTCAATCAACTTTACTCAACAACATTCCATGGTCAGATAATTGATAAAGAACCTGCCTGAATTGGAGTGTCAGTGACTGATAAGAACGACAATGCCAGTGAATTGATAAACTCGAATCTGAGTGCAATCTTTTCGAAATCATTTATTTCAATGTGTGGTATGAAACTGCTGATCTGAAGTGCTACTTTGGCCCTACGTATCTTGATTGAAGCAAATTTAAAAATATAGGCAATTAAATTTTTGAAAACGAGTAAGTTTTGGTGACTTATTATAACCACAGCTATTGACTATTGAATAAAAACCTCTAACGCATGTCAGTATGTGACAAGAAGCGCCACCATATCTAATTTAAAGCTTGTTTATTATGTCTATGTGCATAAAATATTTTTTTCCCCAAATATTTCCAATCTTTCTTGTTGGAAACTTGGAAACGTATAGTTTTAGTTTTTTAGTTACCACCTATAACATAGACGATTTGATCCGTTTGGTTTATAACGTTGTGTTATTCGTGGAATTTTATGTATATATAAGAATGGCTCAGCCCATTGTCTCGTCAAAAACATTATCCCATGCAACAACATATTACATAACAAAACAAAATGTGTCTATTTCGGCTTTCCAATTTTTACACTCTCAACCGTAGACTAACAAATACTGAAATTATTGAAAACCGTATACATTTTGAGTGGATATCGCGAAGGAAAGACATCGAGAAATGTGGATATAGAGGACAAAGTATTTATTTATTTGTTTCTAACCAAAATCTGTCCATTTTAAAAGATTTTTTTAAAAAATGTAGAAAAGTGATTCAAGTAGGAGTGATGTGAAGGAGACCACCGATCCCGGTGAAAAAAATTGTACACATAGAAACTAAAGATAAAAGCATCTCCCTCCAATGATTATGATTGAAGATTAATCGTTGTCAAATTCAACTTTTCGACTATTTCAAATATTCGATTTTAGTTGGTCTTTTTCCTTATGATTAAAGTGGGAAAGCATAGAACCGATCATTTTAATTTTTATTCGTTAAATTTGATTCGATTCGATCCGAAAATTTTAGATATCCATAAACTTCTGAATCAAAGCAAATACTAAAAAACAATATCCATTAATATCACAATTATTAAAATTTTGGGAAGTGGATATCTGATGCAATCCGGAAATATATAAATACATGTATATTTTGATTATATTTAAAATTTTATAAAAGTATTAAAATTATATAATTATTTTTCTAGCTTATAATTTGATTAATTTTATTCACATTATTATTTATATAAAAGTATTAGATAAAAAGAAGAGAACAAATATGAAAATTATAAGAAAGTTTATGTTTTGTGTTATTATAAGTGTTAACTTAAACTTATTTTTCTATAAAATATGTAAATTCACTTTTTCTTTTTATTTTTTATTTTATATATCTTGCAAAAACTATTTTACAAAATAAATTTATATCAAATTTTTAAGATTATTTGTAACGAATGAGATATCTGTAAGTATTTGTAAATATCCGCAAATATCTATTTATTTTTCGGATATCCGTATTTTTCTGAAACAAAACAAATACCAAAATCAGATTTCCATAACATACGAAGTAAATTACAAATATCTTTGAAAACCCGGATATCCTATCCGTACCCATCCCTAGGGAGTTTGGAAAGGTTTTGGAAAGGCATACTTATTTGATTTGAGCGACTACAAATCTCTATTTTCTATTCGAACAAGAAAATACGTGTGCATTAATCCACACCCAATACGACTTGTAAATATAATTAACTTGTTATAACTAAACAAAACTCTTATATTATTGAACTGCTTATTTCATGTGATCCGGTGATCACGTTTGATTAAATAGATGAGAAATGATTGACACTATTGGTACTCACTGTTGACTAAATAGATGATAACTAATTGAACCAACGAGCATGTGATCCGGTGATCAAGTGGGTGACGAATCGTCACTGACGATTAATCATATAGATCAAGGTTTCAAAAATGAATATTCCTAATTTGGGATGATGAGAAGAAGAATATAAACCAAAAATTCTAAAAATCAACAGTAGTTAAATTTTCAGAGAAATTTGAACACAAAACTGCGGCTTCTGAAAGTATATAAAAAGAGAAACCAATAAAAGTCTAGAACGACCATCACACCAATCACCATCAACCTTAATTTCTCCTTTCATTATTTAGATCGAAACACAAACTACAAGCTCTCTCTATCCCATTCAGTTCAACACTTCCATCTTTAAAAAAAACAACACAGAACCTCTTTGTGTTCTGAGCTTTAGATTTTGCGCTATTACTTACCTCTAAAATATAAGAAAATAATAATAATAAACAATTCTTTATTGGTTTCTCGGGGGATGGATAACAACTCGTACGAGTCAGCAGCCAAGTGGTCTGATTCCAGCAGTCCATACAATATGCTCTCATGTTCATTATTACAATCTGATTCTGATCTTAACCCCGGCTTCTCTTCTTCTTCCTCCTCCGGCAACTTGCCAGCTGATGAATTTGTCGGTGGGATAGAGACAGGTGAGTTACTTTCAAGAAGCCATCGTCTGGCTGAGAAGAGACGCCGTGATCGGATTAATTCTCACCTCTCTGCTCTACGGAAACTTGTCCCTAATTCCGACAAGGTATGTCTCTTGTTCACAACTTGTGTTCTTGTTTCATTTGACTTCACTAATCACTCGTCTAGCAAGATTGAAATGTTTTTGATCTACTTTTGAATTTTACTGATAATAACCGATAGTGGATAAGGTCTCAACTTATCAGTAACACTGAAAACGGCTTGTTTCAAGAATGTTTAATCCGAGCAAACAGTTTTGAACCTGACTTGGTTTCCTCATGTGTTATTGAATCAGTGTTTTTAAAACCGGAATGACCCTATAGTTATAGTTAGACTACAAATATGAATCAGTTATGTAGTTAGGTTTCGATTATAATTACTGAATTAGATTAAAACTATTAACATTGTTAAAAAAAATCATGAACACGAAAAACTAGTTAATATTTTCAGTGTTTATATTTGATATTCATTCATATTCTAGTTGTGAATATATATACTATAATTATTTTTTATATATATATATTTGTGAATTTTAGTTGAACCACTACCGAAACCATTTTCTAGTTTAGTTTCCAGTATGGTTTTGAAAACATTGTGTTATATAAACAAGAGTCTTCACTTCATCTTCATTTCATTGTTATCTCAAGATTTCGGTTTAGTAAAATCTAATTTCAGTAAACCGGTTTTTGACATTGACTACATAATACAGTTAGACAAAGCAGCTCTCTTAGCGACAGTGATAGAACAAGTGAAAGAGCTCAAACAAACAGCAACACAATCTCCAACCTTCCAAGATCTTCCAACAGAAGCAGATGAAGTAACTGTGCATCCCGAAACAATCTCCAACGACTTTGAACCAGACACCATCATCTTCAAAGCTTCTTTTTGCTGCCAAGATCAACCCGAAGCAATCTCGGAGATCATTAGGGTTCTCACAAAGTTTCAACTCGAAACATTACATGCTGAGATCATCTGTGTTGGAGGAAGAATGAGAATCAACTTCGTCTTAAAAGATAGCAACCGCAAAGAGACTACGACAATCATGGCTGCATCTGCAAAAACTTTGAAGCAATCTTTGTGTGCTGCGTTGAACCGTATGTCATCTTCTTCTTCTTCTTCGTCTACTTCTTCGGTTTGTAGGATCAGAAGTAAAAGACAGAGATGGTTCCTGTCTTCTCACTACTCACAATGACATTTTTGTCTTAATACCATATATCTTAAAACACAAGTAACATTATTGCTAGGGTTTTGTCGTAATAGTTTTTGTTTGTTCGAAAGTGTTACGTATAGGTTACGTTTTCTCCCTAAACAAGACAATGTTTTTAAATTATATTATATAACCTAAATCTGAGATACTCGATAAAGATTTATACGATGATTATCATTTGCAAGAAGATAAAAATTATTGGTGAAAATTTGATTAAAAAGATAAGGCTTTAACATTAGTTGAGGATTCAGACAATCCGACAAAACCGAAGCCAAATCACTTAAAACTGAAACAAAGATCCAAACAAAAGTACTTAGCGAAATGAAATAACTGGAAAGCGAAGTCTTCATCAAGAGGAGTCTCTCTACTTAGATCGCTGTCTCATCTTTCGTCTCTTCCTCTTCAACCTCCTCATACGCTTCTTCTTCCACTGTAAAACAAGAACAATAAAGAACTTAGCGTCATGTCAAAGAAAAAGACATAACAGATTGATAGATAAATGTATCGAATAAAACTGAAAGGATCAATGTACCTTGGCTCTCATGGCGTATGAGCTTTTTTTCTTGAAAAGATTAGTCGGCTATTTCCCGGTGACGGTAGCAAGAAGACGAAAAGGTGCTTAACTCTGAATATATACCCCTGGAAACCCTAGGGCTGAGATAGATTTGGGCATTTATGTTAAGCCCATGTAATACTTTTTGGGATTTTGTGTTATGTTTATACTATAGTTTGGGCCTTTTCACTAACAATTTCCGGGCTTTAAAGAAATTAGGAAGAAAATGATATTTTTGAATTCTTTGACATTAATTTATTATTCTGTTATGAACAGTATTATTTTAATAATCTACTAATTCTATAAATTATAACTCTACTATTTTATAATTTACATATAACTGTTTAACGTGCATCTAGTTATCGCATCATATAAAAAAACTAAAAAATAATGACGTAAAAGATTACAAAATATGAATATTCGTATAGATTGGATAATGTATATTATTTCTATTTCATATGGTGGAGCTTAATAGTTAAATTAAAGAGAAAAAAATCTCATATATTGGTTGAAAATACGTGGTTAGTTGGTAGTTCCATGCTGGCTACCAAAAAAATGTAATTTAAAAGTCAACCATTAAGATATTCGTAATTTATACAGAAGTTCGTTCCCTTTGGTCGAGCTGACTTTTTAGGTACAAATCTCTAATAATTGAGATACCCCAACCATAAATATAACAAGTCGATTCATGTCAAGTGCTAACGTGGTTACAGTTGACAAAATAAACATAATTTGTATGATTGTATCTATCATAAAAAATATTTGATTATGTTATGGTATCTGAGTGCCAAAGTTCGCTCTGGAAGGATTAGTTACTATATAGCGTTAGTGACTCTATTATTAGCGTGGAACCATATATAAACTGCAACATGTCTCTAATAAAATAAATTGATGCACGAATACTTAACAACAATTAAACATCTCCCACTAATCACAATTTAGTTAAACTGTTTTCAATCTTTAATGGGGCGGTTCCAGTGGCGATGCTCATGTTCATAGGCCATTGCGATTTAGTATTTTGAGAATCTTGAATAGCGAGAAATTGTGAAACTCAAAACATATATTCTACTAAAAACAAGACATGTGATGAATTTGGATATGATTAATATTTCAGGAAGGATTCATTTGCTGAAATATATGTAAGGTATCAAATATGGTTAGTTTAATGAATTCTATATCAAAATAACACGTTTGCAAGTTTATACAATTTTTTACAATACTAATTATGTACTAATATTTACTGATTCATTCAAAAAGACAGAAATTTATATCACTGTTACATAGTCAACTAAGATGAAGGATATAATTATACAGAAACAAATTACATTATGCTATAAGATTTAAAGTAGAAGGAGAAGAAAGGTTTTTGACATAATTATAGCCAATCATGCTTATTGTTCTGCCGACACATGCTATTGCATCAATCGCGCTTCTTGGGACCAATGCACAATACCAAGACTATCACGGATCCCAAATAGAACTATAACTAGGTGTTGACCCGCGCCCTGCGCGGAGTGAGATTATTTTGACTTTGATCGAAGAATAATTTGGTATATTAATTTGTTTAACTAAAAATAGGTAGTGGATGTGAATTAGTAATTAAAATAATATAGACATATAATGAGATATTAGTATAGCTGCGAAACGAAGTATTGATTCATAGCTATTTGTTTTCACTTTTTGTCTTATATATCTATTTGTCTTATAGATACATGATGATACACAAAAATTAAGAAATCGTCTACTTAAAAAAAAGTAGTAAATAAATTAAAATAATAAATATCATAATAAAACATAGAGAAACAAAACATGA